CCAGCAGCTCCACGTCCTGATGTTGGTGCCCCAGAGCTGAACACACAACTTGGCTGTGGGTCCCCACCATAAAACACAAACACTGCCCAACAGTCACTGAAATGATGATACAACAGCACAGAAACCATCTCATGGAATCTCCCTCCCCTAAACTGGGACACAGGGTACTGGGGGATTTTTGGGTTGGAGAGGGAGAGAGAGAGAGAGCCCCAGGGCAGGCAGCAGGAGGGAGAAAATGCCTTCCTTGGCCACCCTGGCACAGGGAAAGGTGCTGCTTGGATCTGACTCACTGGAACTCCCCACCAAGACAGCGTAGCCGGGTCACGGCTGATTAAATACAAGCCAGGATTAACAATAACAAAACAAGTGAGCCTGACTGAAGAGGTTTGGAAAAGAAGTGAGAAGCTGCTACAACCAACATTTTCTAACCTCTGACAACTCTTCTGAGCCAGCAACACACGCCCGTGTGAACTCCTGACACTCCACAGAGGTTTTGGAGCAGAGCAGAGGCTCTCCAGGACCCCGTGCACAGAGGTGAGGTGCAAACCCCAGGCTGGTTTTATTCACAGGCTCTCACTCCTGGGAGCCAGCAAATCAAGCAAAGAAACCTCCCTGCATTTTATCATTACCTGGTTTAGTCCTGGCATCCCTGTGTCTCTTCCAAACGTGGAGTACGAGGCTCTGTCACTGCTCTTCCCTGCAGAGGAGAGAGAAGACAAGGGTCTGGGTAAGAGAGAGGGGGACGTGGTTTGTGTGCCCCCAAACACCAGGGCCCTGCTGAGGGGCAAAGCCTGTTTCTGTGAGGCAGCTCCCTCTGCCCCCCATGGCAGTGACAGCCTCCCAAAAAACCTTGTGCTAAAACAGGAGCTTTAAGTTCAGGGAGAGTGGGTCCCCAAACACCGAGAGCCGGCGCTGCAGCGGCGCGGGGAAGTGCCTGTGGCCATGGAAACTGCCAGTGTCAGCCCAGAGCCAAAAAAATCCCTGCAGACACCTCACATCCAGCCAGCTGAACTTGGCAGAGGCAGGGACGGAGCAAACCAAGCGCCAGGATGAGTGACCAGACTCCACAGGCGCTTTCCAGACAACAGGAAATACAGTCCTGGAGCACGAGAGCTGAGCTGCTGCTCCCTCACAATGCACTGGTCACCTTCTCCCCCTCTCCTGGTGGAGATTCAACTTTCCAAACCCCATCCAGATCTGAAGAGCAGGGATTAATAGGAAAGCATTCCCTTCCTTGCCTCTGTTCAGTCCCACCAGGCAGACTCCTCCTGGCCTGTGGGTTCCTCACAGCCGGAGTGCTGCTGCCAACTGGGATCCACACGGGAGCAGCCCTGTGCCAGCAGTGCCCACGTGAACTTTATAGACTGGTTTGGATTGGAAGAGACCTTAAATCCCATCCAGTTCTACCCCCTGCCATGGGCAGGGACACCTTCCACTAGCCCACGTTGCTCCAAGGCCCGTCCAACCTGGCCTTGGACACTTCCAGGGATGGGGCAGCCACAGCTGCTCTGGGCAACCTGTGCCAGATGGGAAGAGAGAGGAGGCTGCTCATTTTGCAACCTTACCATGGAGGCCTTGAACTCGAGCCAAAAACTTCAGAGTTGGTTCCCCCACTGCAATCCCCAAAGCCCAGACCCCCATTCCCGATGGGAAGGTCATGGAACACCAGCACCCCCCAGCCCTCACCTCCAGCAGGAGCCAGGCACACCTGGCACTGCTGCTGTTCCCTCAGAGGCTTAAACGTTAAGTAAACAAAGGTCAGGATGTCAGAGGATGGATCCCCTAAATGACCTAATTTCTAAAAGAGCTTAAGGGCTGGAGCTGCCGCAGCACCGGCCACGCTGCAGAGGACTCAGCAGGTTGTGGCATCAGGTGGGTCACAGTTACTCCTACAGCAGAGGGAAAGCAGGGTAATGCCATGTGGGTTTGGCTGGACAGCAGCAGCCAGACCTCCCATCTGATAACACACTGCTTCTTCCA